ATCCATCTACGGATCCAATAATCTGAGTGCAACGGCGCACCAAAGGGAGGAGGCGCAAGTTTAAAGAGATTTGATAAACCCCGTAGCTCCGGAGCTAAACACTGAAACCCGACCACTAAAAAAAATGCAAAAAATAGCCGGGGGGGACCGTTTGATGCAATTTAAACTGACCGCAAAAGCCACATATATCACATCCGCGACATACAAATAATAGGAAAGGGGAAGGAACTTAATGCGGACTGAAAAATGCAATCTTAGCGCGACACCGCACTCACCACAATATGATTTGACCCTTTTACAATATATACCAGAAAAATCTACAGAGAGAGAGAGAGACAGAGAGAAAGGTCTTCCTTCCGTTGGTTCACCCCCCAAATGGCTGCCACGGCTGGCACCGCGCTGATCTGAAGCCAAGAGCCAGGCACTTCCTCCCGGTCTCCCATGCAGGTGCAGGACCCAAGCACTTGGGCCATCCTCCACTGCCTTCCCGGGCCACAGCAGAGAGCTGGACTGGAAGAGGGGCAACCGGGACAGAATCCGGCGCCCCAACCGCTACCAGAACCCGGGGTGCCAGCACCGCAGGTGGAGGATTAGCCTAGTGAGCCGTGGTGCCGGCCAAGTCTGAGTCTTACCTGCGTCTGCATGTTCTTTCTCATTCGTCATTGATCTAATTTAGAGGAAAGACATTACAGAAGCCAACATCTGATTCTTCTACGAGCCCCTGCCCAGATCCCTCCCCCCTGGGAGATCTGTTCACTCACCCATGGCTGTTCCAGCCGCTCCCTGTGGTTGCGGCACAAGCTCACCCAACCTTGTGCCTGAAGATTATTTCGCAGCCACCCTTCAGCAGAGCGCCTCCCTCCCAGAGCCTCTGCGAGTGATTGGGACTGGGAGACGTCAGTGTGAGACAGGGCTGTTTGCCGGAGTCAGGCCGCTTCTTGCGTACTCCAGCCCCTGACTTGCAACCTGCCCAAATGCGTAGAAACCAGCAGGAGGCCTGGCTCCAATAAAGTCCTCTGAGTGGAGTCCAGAGGCAGTGATGAGATACACATGAGGCCCAACACTGTGTCAGCGCATTCACTCAAGGGCGAGAGCGGTTGGAACGGTACGGGCAGCAGTCCACTTTGGGTTGGAGACGCCTGAGACGAGCTGCTTATGAAGGAAGGAGGGGTTAATTTAGCCCACAGTTTTGGAGGCTGGAGTCCAAACACTGTGGTGCGGGCTTTAGCTCTGACAAGGGGATCCGTGGCGGAAGGCACATGGTGACTGGTGAATCCAGAGTGAGGATCACACTGGGGGCGCAGGAAGCTGAGTGAGTGGGTGGGCCCAAACTCCAGCGGTTTTAACAACCCTCCCAAGGCCGGCGCCGTGGTTCACTAGGCTAATCCTCTGCCTGCGGCGCTGGCACACCGGGTTCTAGTCCCAGTTGGGTCACCGGATTCTGTCCCGGTTGCCCCTCTTCCAAGCCAGCTCTCTGCTGTGGCCAGGGAGTGCAGTGGAGGATGGCCCAAGAGCTTGGGCCCTGCACCCCATGTGAGACCAGAAGAAGCACCTGGCTCCTGCCTTCGGATCAGCGCGGTGCGCCGGCCGCAGCGCACTGGCCGCGGCGGCCATTGGAGGGTGAACCAATGGCAAAAAAAAGGAAGACCTTTCTCTCTGTCTCTCTCTCTCTCACTGTCCACTCTGCCTGTCCAAAGCAAAACAAAAACAAACAAACAAACAAACAAAAAAAACCTCCCAGGAGAACTCAGGAGGTCACAGGAGAGCTGCTTTCTGAGGGCACGCCCCAAGTAATTCGCATTCCTAGATGTTCAGTGCACTTCGAGCTAATAGTTAACAACCTTAAGTAAGATCGAGGAGACTTGCAGCCACGTTCTGTCCTTCCATTCTCCCTCTTATGCCACACCTGTCGTGTGTTCTGTTTGTACACCTTGACACACTCCCTGCGGCCCTGACACTCTCCCTGTGGTGTTGCAGTTTTTGCTCTCAACCTTCCTACGGTTTCAAGAACTTTGAAAATCAAATCCCACTTAACCGGATATTTGTCATTGCTGACTTCATCCCGGAAGTTCTGTGTTTCCTTGTGGGGACATTTCCTTCAGCCTTAACTTGGTTCAGCAATTTCTCTTGGAGTGACTGTGTTGGCAGTGAATTCTCTTTGTTTTTCCTCTTCTGAGAATACCAGTTTTCCACTCACCCCTGAAGGATGTTTGAGCAGAATATAAGAAATAGAGATGAAATTTCTTTTCTTGAAAAAATGATCAGATTCTTGGGCCAGTGCCGTGTCTCATTAGGCTAATCCTCCGCCTGCGGCGCTGGCACACCGGGTTCTAGTCCCGGTCGGGGTGCCGGATTCTGTCCCGGTTGCTCCTCTTCCAGTCCAGCTCTCTGCTGTGGCCAGGGAGTGCAGTGGAGGATGGCCCAAGTGCTTGGGCCCTGCACCCCATGGGAGACCAGGAGAAGCACCTGGCTCCTGCCTTCGGATTAGCGCGGTGCGCTGACCGCAGCAGCCATTGGAGGGTGAACCAACGGCAAAAGGAAGACCTTTCTCTCTGTCTCTCTCTCTCTCACTGTCCACTCTGCCTATCAAAAAAAATTAAAAAAAAAAGATCAGATTCTTAATTTCATGGACAATAATGTGATACTTACAGTGTGAGAATCACGACTGCTTTGCATACAGTTTCAAAGTGTACACAGATTGGGGCACAGAGGTTAAACGCTGGGGTATGTCTGACAGCATTTCCAAGTTCAGATAAACCACATGCAGAACTTACATTCAGATATGAGCCAATCTGAAAACTTGAATTCCCACAATATAAAAATGATGCTTTTGAGATGCATTTTTCACTAAACTAATAAACATTGAAAATAATGATTAAAAACTCAAAATTAGAATTTATAAACATTAACTAGGAAAAAATATTGCCAGTCACTTTTCTTATAAAGGTCCCATTCATTACATTACAAAATAGTCTTTAACATAAAATTACCTTAATAACTGTACTACTTTAAGATCTGATAAACCTTACATTAAATTGACTATAGAATCCTCTTGGAAAAACTTTAGGGTTTTTAAAAATAATATGTAAGGGCCTGTAAACTTTCCATCCTACTAAAGCACAACAAAGTAGGTGACGGATATACAACTACACACAGGCTACAGAATCAAACTAATAATTTATTACCTTTTTTTTTTTTAACAGGCAGAGTGGACAGTGAGAGAGAGAGACAGAGAGAAAGGTCTTCCTTTTGTCGTTGGTTCACCCTCCAATGGCCACCGTGGCCAGCGCGCTGCGGCCGGCGCACCGCGCTGATCCGAAGGCAGGAGCCAGGTGCTTCTCCTGGTCTCCCATGGGGTGCAGGGCCCAAGCACCTGGGCCATCCTCCACTGCACTCCCTGGCCACAGCAGAGAGCTGGCCTGGAAGGGGGGCAACCGGGACAGAATCCGGCACCCCGACCGGGACTAGAACCCGGTGTGCCAGCGCCGCAGGCGGAGGATTAGCCTAGTGAGCCGCGGCGCCGGCCTTATTACCTATTTTTAGAAAGTCACCATTACCAGAGCAAGCAGGAAACAATGTAAAACTATCCGACTGTTCAATGGTTCTCTTTCCATTCGGATCTTAAAAAGTTATAAAATCACCACACTCCGTTCGTGTCTCTTGGAGGCTTTTCAGGACAGGCTTTCAAAATGGTCAGCCCAGTTCGAACCCCGCTCAGGGCAAACAGACACACCCATCTAGATGCCCTGACGGTGGAACAAGCATGCATAATCAGACCCAGAATTTGTCTTTTAGGAATGCACTGAGCTTTTCTTTTACAATTGTAACTTAGAATTTTTTGGCAGAAATAAAATACACATACACACAACTGAGCACATTAAATGTCAGGAAACAGTAGGAAATGCAAACCTGTACGGTAAGTTGGTTTATTTATTTATTTATTTATTTATGATTTATTTATTTATTTGAAAGAGTTACACAGAGAGGAGAGGCAGAGAGAGAGAGAGAGAGAGAGAGAGAGAGAGAGGTCTTCCATCCGCTGGTTCACTCCCCAGTTGGCCGAAATGGCCGGAGCTGTGCCGATCTGAAGCCAGGAGCTAGGAGCTTCTTCAGGGTCTCCTATGTGGGTGCAGGGGCCCAAGCATTTGGGCCATCTTCTACTGCTTTCCCAGGCCATAGCAAGAGTTGGATGGGAAGTGGAGCAACTGGGTCTTGAACTGGCGCCCATATGGGATGCAGGCACTGAAGGCCAGGGCATTAACCCGCTGCACCACAGCGCCCGCCCCCAGCTGATTTATTTTGAAAAACTGAGTTTGCTTCATCTTATTTTGGATTGACAGCTAGTGTTACCTAGAAGATGTTTGGTTCTTGCTTCTTGTGTGTAATTTTAAATAGCTTCTCATTGTGCCTCTAGCTTCCTTGGAGTCATTTTCTACTTAATCCTCTGTCAACAGATCTCTTGGATAAGATATTTGAGTTGAAAAAGCCTAAATAAAAAGTTCACTTTTGACCTTTTAATTTATGAAATTCCGCTAAAGATAAATCTAATTTTTAGGCAAGTCCACAAAAGTATTTTCATTTTTTTTAAAGATTTTATTTATTTATTTGAGAGGTAGAATTGCAGACAGTGAGAGAGAGAGAGAGAGAGAGAGAGACAGAAAGGGAGGTCTTCCATCTTCTGGTTCACTCCCCAGATGGCTGCAACAGCCAGAGCTGAGCTGATCCGAAACCAGGAGCCAGGAGCTTCTTCCCAGTCTCTCAGGCAGGTGTAGGGGCCCAAGTGCTTGGGCCATCTTCTACTGCTTTCCCAGGCCATAGCAGAGAGCTGGATCGGAAGAGGAGCAGCCGAGACTTGAGCCGGAGCCTATATGGGATGCCGGCACCACAAGCGGAGGATTAACCCACTACGCCACAGCGCTGGCCCCTTTTCATTCTTAACACTCAAACATGTTCATGGGAATAAAAATCCTTTAAAAGTTTTGCATCTTAGAGTTTTATTTAGATTTTCCTGGACTGCAGCTTGATTTTCCAGGCATTTCACACATTCTTTCCTCTCTCTGCAGCATTCTCAAGCTACTTCTCTGTTTTTCATCCACCTGGTTCTCTTTTATGCCGGGGTCATCCGTCTCAGGCGTCGGACATGAGGAGTCACAGGTGGGTCACCACCCCACTCTGCAGCAGTGGTCTGGGTCTGATACAGCTGCGTATCCCCGATGCAGGGTACCCTCTGCCGCTCCTTTGAGAGATGGGAGCTGGAACACACAGCGGAGACTCCGGGGTTTTCTCCATCTCCTGCCCTCCCCCGTGTGTCCCCAGCAGACAGGGCTCTGCAACTGTTTCTGTGAGGTGGGCTTCTTGCTGGGTTCCGGGGGCTGCTTGAGGAGCCTGTGCAGGCAGGGGAGTCCTGAGACCCCTCACTTCCTGATAGAGATGATAGCTGCTGAGAGAGGAGCTCCCGGAACTGCACCAGGCTGAGCTGTCTTCGAGAGCTCCTCTCGTGGGGGTCTCCCGTCGTCCACTGCAGCCGCTGCCCTGCTGCTGTCCCTCTCCCAGATGGATCCGAATCCCCCACCGCTCTGCTGGCCAGGATGTGCCTGTCACCAGGGTGACCACCGATCGTCCTGGGCTACCTTCTCTGCAGTCAGGGCTGCCACTGGAGACCTGTGCACACCAGGCGGGGCCTGAGGCCACACTTCCTTCCTTCCACACGTTGAGGATTCTCCTCCATGCCTCTCTGGTTCCCGATGAGGAGGGCTCAGTGCTTGCTAGCGTTTGTGGTGTTCCCCTTGATGACTTCCAAGATTCTCTTCTCCATCTTTGCTTTTCAGCAGTTTGATTTGGATGTGTGTAAGCACAGTTTTCTATGAGTTTGTCTTGCTTGGGTCCCAGTGAGCTTCTTGAATCTGAGAATGTATGTCCTTCAGCGTATGTGAGCAGTTTGCAGTCACTAGTTCTGCACAGTTTTGTCTGTCTCGGTATCTCTCCTCTTCTTAGGGACCCCAGTGTTGTTACGATTGTCTCACAGGTTCCCATCGCCGTCCACCTATTTTAAATCCTTTTCCCCTTTGTTCTCTTTCCCACTGACCTGGCGTCAGGTGCACTGCCATTTGCTCTGCCCTCTGCTCTGCTGCTGAGCCCACCAGGTGCACTCTTTATTTCATGCATTCTACTTTCCAGTTCTCAGATCTCCGCTGGCTGTTGTTTGTAACCTTTTCCCTCTCTGTTGACAACTCGTATCTCTGCTCTCAGTTCGACAGGGCCACATTACCTCGTGGAGGGGAGTTATAACAGCTGCTTTACATTCCCGAGCACCATTGGCTTGATTTTACACTGCTGTGTGGGTTTGCAGTCTTTCATTTGATCCTGTGGATTTTCTCTGCCTTTGATGCACCTGCTTTGGGACTCCCGTATTATCTTCTGGGCTCCCCTGGCACTGCCCCCCACAGATACTTCCTATTTTGGGCATTCTTGCATTTGACAATATCATGTCAATGGTGTGTCTTGGGCCTCCAGCTAGGTTATTGGATCTTTAACAGTGTCTTTGATCATACTGAACAAATTGAATCAAGTTCAAGTAAGTGGATTAATTGATAAAAAATTCGCAAGTTCAATATAGCCAATATAATAATTTCCCTTTTTAAATTAAAGATTTATTTATTTGAAAGAGTTACAGAGAGAGAGGGAGAGAGAGATCTTTCATTTGCTGGTTCACTCCCCAGATAGCTGCAACAGCTAGGGCTGGGCCAGGCTAAAGCCAGGAACTAGGAGATACTTCTGGGTCTCCCACGTGGCTGGCAGGGGCCCAAGCACTTGGGTCATCTTCCACTGCTTTTCTCAGGCCACTGCCCAGGAGCTGGATTGGAAGTGGAGCAGCCAGGACATGAACTGATGCCTCTATGGAATGCCAGCATTGCAGGCGGTGACTCTACTCACTGTGCCACAACACTGGCCCCTCTATATAATACTTTCTTTATTTCAATGTGATTGTTTTCTTGAAGGAGTCCTTTTCATTCCAAGCATGTGTGGCATTTCATAGAGCCAACATTTAGTCCATATTTCATACTTTCCAACATTATAAGCCAAATTACAATTGCAGACAGCTCTCATAAGTCTAATTAGATGCCTTGCAGACTCCATAGGTGCTCGGGCCAGGTGGAATTAACAGAGTAGATGTTGTGATCAATCACAGGAAGTTAAGACCAATAATTTACATGACTGGCATAAGATGTGTGCTCTTCCAATCCTCTGCTTTATTTTTTCACCTGCTTTATTTAGTCTTGGCAACATTCAGCAAGGCTGGCAAACTGACAGTGTTCAGTCCTTCCTTCAGCGGGTATCCCCTGGTCATCTGCTGTGAGCCAGGCAGCTGGGTGCCCCAGTGCAGGGTGGGATCTGCTGTGGAGAGGCGGATCTCTGCTGATACAGAGGAAGGAGGGGGCTCTGCGTCTTGGAGTCACAGCGGCTCTTCAGCCGCAGTGTGGCACACAATGCACACTTATCTCTGTGAAAGGTCAACCCGCTTTTTTTTTTTTATCTTTTATTTAATGAATATAAATTTCCAAAGTACGACTCATGTGTTACAATGGCTTCCCCCCCATACCGTCCCTCCCACCCACAACCCTCCCCCTTCCCACTCCCTCTCCCCTTCCATTCACATCAAGATTCATTTTCGATTATCTTAATATACAGAAGATCAGCTTAGTATACCTTAAGTAAGTATTTCAACAGTTTGCTCCCACACAGAAACATAAAGTGAAAAATAATAGATGATTTTTTTTAAATGATGATGAAATCAGATCAGACCTATTGTCATGTTTAATCCCAGTGAGATTCAAGTTGGGAATTGATAATTTCTTTCTTTCTTTCTTTTTTTTTTTTTTACAGAAGATCAGTTTAGTGTACATTAAGTAAAGATTTCAGTCGTTTGCACCCCCATAGAAACACAAAGTGAAATATACTGTTTGAGTACTCGTTATAGCATTAAGCCTCAGTGTACAGCACGTTAAGGACAGAGATCCTACATGAGGAGTAAGTGCACAGTGACTCCTGTTGTTGACTTTACCAATTGACACTCCTGTTTATGGCATCAGTAATCTCCCCATGCACCAGTTATGAGTTTCCAAGGCTATGGAAGCCCCTTGAGTTCTCCGACTCTTATCTTGTTTAGACACGGTCATAGTCAAAGTGGAGGTTCTCTCCTCCCTTCAGAGAAAGGCACCTCCCTCTTTGAAGACCTGTTCTTTCCACTGGGATCTCACTCACAGAGATCTTTTTGCCAGAGTGTCTTGGCTTTCCATGCCTGAAATACTCTCATGGGCTTTTCAGCCAGATCCGAGTGACTTTAGGGCTGATTCTGAGGCCAGAGTGCTATTTAGGACATCCGCCATTCTATGAGTCTGCTGAGTATCTCACTTCCCATGTTGGATCACTCTCCCCTTTATTTATTCTATCGGTTGGTGTTAGCAGATACTAGACTTGTTTATGTGCTCCCTTTGACTCTTAGTCCTTTCATTATGATCAATTGTGAACTGAAATTGATCACTTGGAGTAGTGAGATGGCATTGGCACATGCCACCTTGATGGGATTGAATTGGAATCCCCTGGTATGTTTCCAACTCTACCAATTGGGGCAAGTCAGCCCGAGCATGCCCCAAATTATACATCTCTTCCCTCTCTTATTCCCACTCTTACGTTTAACAGGGATCACATTTCAGTTAATTTTCAACACTTAAGAATAACTGTGTGATAATTACAGAATTAAACCAGTCATATTAAGTAGAACAGACAAAAAAAAAATACTATGAGGGATAATGTATTAAGTTGTCCATTAGCAGTCAGGGCTATGCTGATCAAGTCACCATTTCTCATAGTGTCCATTTCACTTCAGGAGGTTTCCTTTTTGGTGTTCAGTCAGTTGTCACCGATCAGGGAGAACATATGGTATTTGTCCCTTTGGGACTGGCTTACTTCACTCAGCATGATGTGTTCCAGATTCCTCCATTTTGTTGCAAATGACTGGATTTCGTTGTTTCTTACTGCGGTATAGTACTCTAAAGAATACATATCCCATAATTTCTTTATCCAGACTACCGTTGATGGGCATTTAGGTTGGTTCCAGGTCTTGGCTATTGTGAATTGTGCTGCAATAAACATTAGGGTGCAGACCGCTTTTTTGTTTATCAATTTAAACTCCTTTGCAACCCGCTTTGCAGGTGAGGAAGTCAAAGTGCAGAGAGCCTGAAGGGCTTGCCTCAAGTCTCAGGAATTAGTGCACAGCTCTGACCTGAAGCTCAAGCTTCTTTCTTTCTTTAAAGATTTATTTATTTTACTTGAAAGGCAGAGTTACAGAGAGGCAGGAGCAGAGAGAGCGAGCGAGAGAATGAGAGAGAATCTTCTACCCACTGGTTCAGTCCCTCAATGGCTGCAAAGGCCAGGGTTAGGCCAGGGCTGGGCCAGGCCGAAGCCAGGAGCCAGGAGCTTCATCCAGATCTCCCACGTGGGTGCAGGGGCCCAGGCACTTGGGCCACTTTCCACTGCCTTCCCAGGTGCATTAGCAGGGAGCTGGATTGGAAGTGGAGCAGCCAGGGCTTGAACCGATGCCCACAGGGGATGCCGGTGTTAGAGTAGGCGGCTTAATCTGCCACGCTACAGCAGCAGTCCCTAGGCAGTGGATCCTTAAGCTTCGTACTCAGCTTCATTCATTTTCTTTTCTTTTTTTTTAAATTTTATTTGTTTATTTGAGAGGTAGAGTTACAGAGAGAGAGGGAGAGAGAGAGAAAAGTCCTCCATCCACTGGTTCATTCCCCAGATGACTGCAACGGCCAGAGCTGGGCTGATGAGAAGTCAGGAGCCTGGAGCTTCTTCCGGGTCTCCCACCCAGGTGTGGGGCCCAAGCACTTGGGCCATCTTCCACTGCTCTCCCAGGCCACAGCACAGAGCTGGATCGGAAGTGGAACAGCTGGGACTTGAACCGGCAGCCATGTGGGATTCCAGCGCCGCAGGAGGAGGCTTGCTTGCTATGCCACAGCGCCAGCCAGCTTCATGCATTTTCAGGAGTCAGGACCAACTGTTCTGTTGCTGTCATCCTGTTTTTGCAATCATATTAAGCACTGCTTGCTGATTGCAAACCCGCGTAAAGTAACAGTACATTTTGT